CGTTAGATTTGATTTGTGTATGGATAGAAAATTATGCATGTGCTGCAACTTCAAACGTTGCTGGTTTCAATTTCAAACGTTGCTGGCTTGCTGCAACAATTATGCATCTGGACAGTGCACTGTTAGGACTTAGGCGTTAGCTAAATTTTAGCGATTATTAAACCGAAACCGTACCGAACCAAAATAAGAAAAACCGAACCGTACCGAAATATTTTGGTATGGTATTTGGTATACACAATTGATAAACCGAATACCGAATTACCGAACCGAAATTATTAAATACCGAACCGAAGTACCGAATGCCCACCCCTAATGAAGACAATGCAGCATGCATAGCTCAATTGAAGGGAGGATTCATAAAAGGAGATAGGACAAAGCACATTTCACCAAAGTTATTTTTCACACATGATCTTCAAAAGAATGGTGATATCAATGTGCAACAAATTCGTTCAAGTGATAATATGGCTGATTTGTTCATCAAGTCTCTACCGACGTCAACATTCAAGAAGCTAGTGTACAAGATCGGGATGCGAAGGCTCAAGGATGTGAATTGATGCTCTCATCAGGGGGAGTTAATGCGCGTTGCACTCTTTTTTTCTTAAAAGGTTTTGTCCCACTAGGTTTTCCTTGCAAGGTTTTTAACGAGGCAACCAAAAGGCGTATTGTTAGATATGTGTACTCTTTTTCCTTTACTAGAATTTTTTTCCCATTGGGTTTTATTTTAGTTAAGGTTTTAATGAGGCACATTATTTGTTGAATAGACATTCAAGGGGAGTGTTATAAATAGAATTTTATTTATGGTGAATGTCTATATTTAGAGAGATTCTAGGGTTTATTACTTAGTGGCTAAGTCAATCTCTCCCTATAAATTGAGGGTTCTATTCCATTATAATTCATCCCAAAATTCAATAAGAATTTCCTCTCTCTTTTTCTGCAATATTGCTCTTGTTCTTTTTGAGGATAATTCAAACTTTCTGAATCCATGATGGATAATTATTAAAAAACCCTTATTAAAGAGGGTCCGATTAAATTATTTTTCTCATTACAAATTTTTTCTTAAGCAGGAAGATGAAGAGCAGTGGCAGAAAGTGAATTCACTTCCTAGTGATTTGGGGATTTGCCTCCAATTACTCAAATTATGCGGTTGTCTTTTTTATTTTTAAAATTAATAAGAAGAATATACTTGATATGAAGAAATTGATTTATAGAAAGTTGTAACAATAATTTCTTCATCTGTTCTAAAATTAGATTATTCGAACTTGATGTACAACGGATAAATATCCTACCGTAAGTATTTGTAAAATTTGATGTTAAATTAAAGAGTGTAGTTATGGTGAATATTTGGAGAAATCATATCTAGTGTAATAGTTATTTATTTACATCTTTTTAGACATAAATATTAAATGATTGAAGGGTAAAAAGATTGCGTAACTGAAAGTAGGCATTTTGAGGCTTTGAGCTATCAATCTGTTACTTTGGATCAAATAATATGATGGGTGCATTTTTCTTCAAAATTAATATGTACATAACATATTATCTTATTATACCTCACCAAATATGTTTTGTTATAAATGATATTCTTGATGCAATAATTTTTTTTTCCTTCTTGGTCATGATTAATATATTAGTTCTCTTTATCTAAAAATATTCATATATAATGTTATCAGTGTTAGTGACTTGTTTAATTACCTCAACACAACTTTTATACTCTTCAACATAATTACAATTTGTCTTGGAGATATAAATAAATACTCCCTCAGCAAATTGCTCCTTCGGCCACGGGTGCCGAGGTGGCTGTCTGATCACGTCCAAATGCATATTTCAATAGAGATATGAAACGGTCGTATGCAATAATAAATATTCAACTAGGAGTTGGGACCGAATCCATTGGGAGTTATGATGGGAGTTAGGAGTACATATTCGAAGTAAGCAAATGTGTTATCTAGATTGTACTTTCACAACAAGATTTTATTTTTTATTTCTACTGTTAATCTAATAATTACAAAATATAGTAGGAGAGTTTTACCCCTAGTATGAGTCTAAAAAAGGTAAAAATCTTCATTTCTCGTTAATTACTGATCCATAACCGACATCGAGCGAGATTTGTGCCGTGATATCCGGTTGGGTGCGAATATCACGACCCTATATCCGTCGTGTATAACTCACCGTGTTTCCCGAGGTCTTAGAACTCATTTTGGCCCGGGGCACGTTGCTTTACCATACCCCAGGACGAGCACATCGCTCACTCTTCCTGGATCTCGATACGAAGGGTCTCTTACCTCGATTACAATCTCGTGCATCCACACCCTTCTTCCGTTTTCTCACCGGAAAATCGGGGTAGATATTACCCCCGATTTTACTCTTACACAAGTAGTATATAAATTATTCTTGCGCGTATGCTTTTATGATTTTGTGGTTTAGTTGATAATACTATTTTTTTTAACAACTTTAAAGTCCTAAATATTAGGAGTACTTTTTACTTGGTTCAAATAAGGAATAATTAATAAAAATTGTTAGTTATATTTTAAGAAATAATTAAATGGCTATTTATAAATGGTAGGAAATTAATTAAATAACTATTCCAATATTAGAGAAATTAATTAAATGACTATTTTGTCCATAAACTCTATTTTAAAGGGATAAAAAAGACGAACGACATTCACTAGTGGCTTCGTGCTTTTAATATAGTAATAGATAATAGATATTGAGGGTAAGGTAAATAGTTATTTACAGTAGACTAATTCAACTTACCATAGTTTAGAGCCCGTTTGGCCAAACTGCCATAAACTACTTTTTTGAAAAGTACTTTTGTTCGGAAGTAGCAGTTTGTGTTTGACCAATTCTTTTGAATATTTTTTTTAAAAGCAAATTATGTTCGGCCAATCTGTGCAAAAATACTTTTAAGTATCAAATTACGAAAAAGGACATTAAAGACTTAGTTTGCAATTAGTATTTTTTTTAAAAAGAGATCTGAATTAAAATATTTGTTATAAAGAAATTCAACTAAAATATAAAACATAAAGTAACTAAATTAAAGTTTTAATCAATATAAAATATAGTTATAATTATTATTTATATGATGATTTTATATCAAAATACATCATTCAATATAAATTAAAAATCTACTCTTATAAATCACCATATAAAAGAAGCGGTCTATTTATAATAGAGAGAATATTTCAAAGAGGAACAAGAGAAAGAGAAAAAATTAATGGAAATAATAAAGAACAAAAAAGAATGGTAGAAAATAAAATTAAACTAATTAGGGATAATTTGAAAAATATGAAATTTATTGCAAGGATATTTTTGTCTTGAACAAATTAATTTTCTGCTTCTGTTTCTTGGAAAGAAACTAGAATATATAGCTTTTCCCAAAAGTAGAAAAAGTGCTTCTGATTCTGCTCAAAAACACTTTTTCATCCTCACCAAACATCTCAAATTTTTTAAAAAGTACGTTTTTAGCCACCAAAAAGTATTTTTGACCTGCAAGAAGCTTGATCAAACATGCTCTAAATAAAGTGAATAAAATATGCATTAATTATGCCATGTATTTATTGGTCTGGTATAAACTTTAATTGTGGGTCACTTATTGAATTGCTTAGGAACAAGAAATCAGCAACTTAATCGCATATTCGTATGGATGTTTGTCATATTTAGCTGAATGTTTTCGTGTATTCTAGGCTGTCGCGTGTCGTGCTATCTCATTTTGTACGTCTAAGACAGGAAGTCAATTCATCTATTAATTCTTTAGATTTTGAGAAAAGGTCAAACAAATGAAAAACATAATAAAATATTTGTTTTCTAAATATCAAGCGGGGATAGCTCAGTTGGGAGAGCGTCAGACTGAAGATCTGAAGGTCACGTGTTCGATCCACGTTCACCGCATTGGTTTTTTACTTTTACAATGTTATTTCGGTTTTATAGACCTCACTCGGTTCATCTTCTGTGACAGTGTGAAGCACACATAATGGGCTGATGTAGTCTGGTCCGATGCTGTCCAGAAATTTTATGCTTTATGGATCCACGATCCATCATTTGTGAGGCAGACATAATGGTCTAATGCGGTATGATCCAACACAGCTCAAGATTTTTTTTTTGAAATCAGTTTTTCTTCCTTTTTAATCCGGCTAATGTGTGAGGTATTTACAAGAATTTTTATTTATTTATTTCAATACTTCTTGTTAGCTAGTTAATAAGGGAATAGCAAACCAGTTAGGATCTCATGCCACTATATATATATTTTGCACCATGTAGTGCCTATAACGCTCCCTACCGAAAAAATATATATTTTCAAGGTTTGAATCCGAACCTTTGATTAAATGTGAAGAGCCCTCCATTAAAATAGTTATTCGTGCTAGGGCAAACAAATAACTACTTGTGCTCCTAATTATATTTTATTAAACTCCATAATCATACGCTGAAATTGATAGAAGCAGTAAATAAAATAAGGAGGCAGTCGCTCAAAAATATAATATTGTAAAACTTTTTCTTTAGATTTGCAAGAAATTACAACAAAGTGTAATATAATACAATGATGGTATATATGAGAACAATCCTGTATAGATAACTTGGTTTTTTGTTTCTATAGAATGAAATTGATTGCGAATTTGAGGAGTTTCCATCTGTAAACTACAAGGTAATCAGTTGCTTAATGTTCAGTGGAAAGACATATTGTTTGCCATCAAAAGCTGAGTCAATAATCATGCGATTAGCTGCTTCAGTTGGATGATATCTATCCCAAAAAACATGGTCACTTCTATTGGAACAGAACGTGGAAATTGGGGTGCAAGGAAGTTTAGCATTTAGTCTTCCCAGTCCACAACAAGCAGCTTTCACTTCACTAAAACCTGAAAAAAAAATCATTTCATCTCAACCAAATCAACACTGAATATAAGCAAATGGTACAAAAATAACAATTACATTTTGAATAGAAGAAATTGACAAAAAAATGACCTACATACGGACAGTGGCGGAGCTACATTCAACCAAGGGTGTCAATGGACACCCCTTCGCCGGAAAATTACATTGTATTGCTAGATATTTTTTTTTGTTTTATGTATATTTACTATACGTTGACTTCCTTTAACTTTTCGGTATAACTGTTTTTTTTTTTTTTTTATATTTTGACATCCCTTGGTGAAAATTCTGGCTCCGCCACTGCATATGCTAGATTCGTCTCCTATTAACAAGAAGAAGTAGTTATTGCAATTATTGGAATCGGAATTACCGTAAATAGCTGGATTCTGGATGACATCGAGCAACAAATTGAATGTGTCGAAATATGAATAACTGAAATCCTTCAGCTCAGACTGCAACCCTTGTAGCACGGACTGAAGTCCTTGGTTATATTTGTTTGTCCAGTAATTAGTTTGTTCGGAGCATTCACCAGATTTATTGGCACTTTGGTATCTTAGCAATGGAATGCATCCAATTGATCCTACCCCAACAATCACAAATTTTCGTGCACCTAGACCATACAATTGCTGAATCCAAAAAATAAAATAGAATATGGACACTTAGTGTTTACACTAAACTTAAAAACTTAATGAACATATCAGTTAATTATAATTAGGTGATAAATGTGTGTCATATGTCTTGCATATTTAATGATTTGATGTAAACACCGTGTGAGTTAACTTTTATCAAATTTGAATGTGACTTTGAAATTGGTGGTAGAAAATGTACCTTGAGCTGGCCCTGTAGAGAGGAAACCATTTGATCGACGTATTGCTCGGGTGCTGTAGTCTTAGAGAGTTTTGAATCGGATTTGAAATAATTAATTATATCATTACTTCCGATTGCAATACCAAAAACAGACTTTGATAGTTGCTTTTGTGCGGTATCAGATCCTAATTGCGTCACCAATCTTTGCTGAACAATGGAGAAAAACTGCACTTGTTGTGACATATGAAGTGCTTTGCTCTGCAATTAAAGAAAATAATTGTTAATATGAATATTATCATCGAACTGTAAGGTTGACTAATTTCTGCCTTATTTATTGAATAAAACAGAAGAGGGTTAACATCAAGCGGGGATAGCTCAGTTGGGAGAGCGTCAGACTGAAGATCTGAAGGTCACGTGTTCGATCCACGTTCACCGCATTTTTATTTTTTCGTTTCATTCAGTTTTGTTCTATAGATTGTAACTCATCGTGTGTGAGTCAGACATAATGGGCTAATGCTGTGCTGTATAATCCGGCCCAAGAAACTTTTTATTTCATGAAGAATTTGAGCCGGAGCCAAGGTGTGAGGCCCAATAACTTTTTATTTTCATGTACTTCCTCTATCAAACTATAGGGAAAAATAAGAAATGACCAATTGAAAAATAGTAGTGAGAGGTTATTTAAATTCAAATTCATAACATAATGATTTCTAGTTTTAGTATTTCTAATTACCATTTGCTAGTCAAGCGGATTTCTCATGTTTCCTGCGGGTTTATATGAACCCAGTAATTTTTGATCATATTCTATATGGAGTATGTATGAAGAAATCTACTAAATATCTATAAATAATTAACTGTGAACCCAATCAATAGTGTATATTAACTTGAGATATCTATAAATTCATAAATTTTAAATCCTGAATTCACCTCTAATATTGGTAGAGGCACTCAAGGATATCTAATTGCGTTAAAAAGGAGAAAAATAAAAAAAGAATTAAAAAAAGTGAATTAACTTACAAGAAAGTCATCGTTGGTGCCATTAAAAATTCCAGCTCCACCAGAGGCAAAGCTTACACCTTTGGCGAACACATTGTTCTTGTCGGCCAAGTATGGGGGAGGCGTTGGTACTCCTAATTTCTCAGCTGCCAAACAATTTAAAAAAAAAAAAAAAAAGAGAGAGAATTTTTAGTTACGTTTTCCAAAATGTGCACCCGTAATTCCACATGCATAAAACAATACAATAATGGATGTGAAGCAAAGAAAAGGGATAAAAGAAGAGATATTTTATAACAAATAAAGAAAAAGTTAAAGTTTGCTCCATCACCCAAAACGCATCGACTCTTCATCATCAAGTTGAAAGTGGCCGCAGTTGTGTTTGTATATAAGGAGCAATTAACCCCCCATTTCCAAAAAAAAAGAATAATCTATTAAGGTTTTATTTTATACTACTTTCGTTTTACTTTATATGAAAGTATTTAATTAGCACAGTTTTTTTTTTAAAAAAAAAATTACCACATATACTAAAAATTACCCTTAAAAAAACTATGGCTTCGAAGAGTTTGCTTTTCATGCACTAATTACAGTACCCCACTAGTGACACTGGCACGGCAGCCCAGTGCACTAAGCACCCACTATGAGCGGGGTCCGGGGAAGGGTTGGACCGCAAGGGTCTATTGTACGCAGTATTACTCTTTATTTCTGCAAGAGGCGGTTCCACGGCTCAAACCCGTGACCTCCTGATCATATCGCACCAACTTTCCTAATACCCCACTAGTGACAGAAGAAGAAGATATCAGACATACAGTAGAATGCGTGGTACCAAATACACTAAAAAAAATGCTATTACTATAGATAATGTAAAATCAACATTAAGTGCACGTATTTTCCTTTCAGCTAATAACAAATCATGAAGATGGAAATACTAGCTAGTTATAACTTATAAGGTGCTATTGCTTAATTCCTTCAAATATTTGAAAGGACAGGAGAAGCTTCAAATTAACAGGAAATACGTACTATATAGTTGTTGTTATTATAACTGATGGTAAAGCTCGAAAATAATAAAAGGTGAATTTCAGTTTGAGGCATGAAGCAAAACCTTAGTCTAAACTCTTGAGCAAAACTGAATTGTGACAAATTTCACCATTTTATCACTATGGTGGCTAAAAATTCTGTTACTACTAACATAGGATGAGTGCTTGGTTACCTAGAAAATCAGCAGTGTTTTTCCCATTGCAAAATCTTCCAGTAGATTTTCCACCAGGATAATCAAGACCATTATAAGGAAAATTAGCTTTAATAACTGTACCAAAATGGTTATTATTGCCAACGTCTACAAGGGAGTCACCAAACATGTACGCTGCTGGCACTGACTGTGCTACACATAGTTTACAACATAAGAGAAAGAAAGAAGAAAACAACAAGAAGAAACTCAACAAAGAAGAAGAAGAAGCCATTGATGTTTAGTCTTAATAATAAGGACCTATGACTTATGTCTCTTTCTTCTCCAGTACTGGAAAAATAGGTTGAAAAGAGTAGTATATATATAAATGATTTGGTGTTGGTGAAAAGGAAGAAGACGCACAAGTAGTCTACAAGTTACAAAATTTGTTGTGTGAACGAGTTTTTTTTATTTTTTTATTTTTTAATTTTTAATAATAGGAATTATGTGCTTGGAACAGCTGGTCTATCTTTTTGTGTCTCTATCTACAATGAGAACTCTGTTTTAAACTTTACTCGACTAATTAATCGTAATTCCTTCGTCTAAAATAAAGAAAGAAAAGAGAATGTGCGGAGACTGTTGGAATATATACTATTAATTATGTGTTTATATATATTAATATTTATTACTATGAAATACTATTTTATTCAATTTTAATACAACAACAATAACATATCCAGTATATTTCTAACAGGTAGAATTTTATTCAATTTTAATAAAAATTTAATAGATCATGTATTCGTCTTTGTGTACTTTACTAAAATTGATTCTCATTTTTTCATATATGTACTTATAGAAAGCAAGGGGAGGTTTAGTTGAACCCATTGAATCTGCTCTAGAATTCGCGTATGTTGATTTGAGTTAATAATTTTAATTTTTAAATCAACTATTTAGAAATTAATTATTTGATTTTTTGAAATAAAATTTATATACTTAATTTTTTTTTTCTCAAATATAACTAATTCTTTCTTCTAAGTACTTGTGTTGTCATTAAAGAAATGACAAAGGGAGAACAAAACCGATTCTAGGAGACTCCAATATTGCTGCTGATTATAGTGGAGCCAAGTAAGACTTTATGTTTTGGTTGCTCCAAAAATATTCTAAATTTTAGAAAATTGCCAAGTAAACACTTGATAAATAAACAAACAAATAAATAAATCTAATCTTAAGGAGAAGATTGAAGTGATGGGATAGCTTTTAGTTTTCAAATGATGCAGTGATCTTTGTAAAGGTGATGATTCTTGAATCAGATTCACACGTTTTGGACCTAAATCAAAAGCTCCTTTTGGTGGTTTTAGTTTCATCAAATATCTTTAGCTCTTCTATCTCTTCTAGTAGCATTTTGTGGGCGAACATAGTTCTTAAGCTCCAGATTCATCTTAATCCGATATTTTCGACGTAAATTAATATTTATATGTAAAAGTTTTGTAAGAAAAATTCAATAAATACTATATTTAAACTCATAAAAATCTTAATGATCGAGCTCATTACATTTGAATTTTGGATCCATCTCTGCTTGATAAGAGAACCGTCTCGTGCATATTCATTTCCGAGAAAAGAATAAGAATGAAATAGTGAAAATAGAGAAAACGAATTGTTGTGTCTAAATAATGTGTGGTTCATTAATTATAAATAAAAGCACCGACATGTTCTTCAAAGATCAAAGTGGAATAATATTTTGCCCTTTTTGGCCATAAAGAGGGATCCATCACATACCAACCATATTAATTTTTTTTATTAATTTTAAGAGCTCAAAGCTACTTTCCCACACGCATCTCACTTCCTTCTTGTCTTTTAATAGTACTAAATATATGATTTTTGGTATACTTACATAATCTTGCTTAATCCATATGCTAAGACATCATTCTTTTGTATAATTTATTCAAAACATCATATTCTCTTTTTTGGTTATCTCTAAGTAAACTTCTAAGAGATTAATAGAAACCATTAACTATAGGGAGAAAATCATTTACATCCCTCAACTTCGCTTTAAAAATCAAACTCCCCCTCAACATGAACGATAATTATTCTTCCCCCTTTTATGTCCTTTGGCTTTTTTAATTACCTATTTACCCTTACATATCAACCATTGTCTCTTCTCCTTCTTTCTTTTTTTTTTTTTTACTTTTTTTATAACCATGATATTTTTCTTTCGTTTTTTAAAATTTATATAACAAAAATACTTTTAGAAAGAAGAAAATTATTTTTGAGACGGAAAAAAGAAGAGTGAGAATAGTAATTAAGTAATATGTCCTGTAGTGAAATAAATGAGTAGAATAAAAATAATTTAATTTAATTTATTGCAATCAACGCTCTAATATATGTATATTAAACATATTTGAATGCGAGTAATACAAAAATAATTACTAAAAATAGAGATAAATTTATACAGAATTCTATATAGATAAATGAGTTATGATCGCCATTAATGAAATAAAAATAGAGCTAAATTTTATAACAGAATTCTAAAAGAGTATCTATTTATATTGTAAATACATTTTAAATTATAATTTAAAAACTATTTCATCAATGACAATAAAAACTCATTTATATATATTTATATAGATGGTAGAGAATAAGAGAGAGTGAAACTTACATACTTACTTACTTTCATAATGCACGTAATATTTAAATTACAATTATAAAAAATAGCGTTAGATTTTGTAATAAATTTATAAAAAGATTGTGTTACTTATAATGTTAATGAACTTAAGTAAAGATCTATACTAAGATAGAAAAATATTTAAACTATAGTAAAATGTTTAGGTTAAAAAATAAAATATTACTCTATATAATATAAAAATATATTATATAGATGGAGAATTAAAAAATGTCAAGAGCAAAGTTGATATTGCATAGAATAAGAGGGGGAGGATGACTATTGTTTGAAGTTAAGAGAGAAGTTTGATTTTTTGAGCAAAGTTAGAAGGCGTAAATGATTTTTACCCTTAACTATATAACTTGAGAATACTTATTGGAGTTTGAATTGGTTATGGTTTAGCTTTTATTGGAGATTATCGAAAAGTAATTTCGGGAAAAATAAATTTTGCAAATAACTTTAGTATTCTGGCATCAGCCTACAACCGTATGCAACAGTTTGCAAGCTGATAAGGAAACAGTACCTAAAGAAAAAATAATATCAGTTTCTATGTGTAATAACTTAGCACGGCTTGGAAACCTATGCGTACTTCATATAGAAGACGCTACTATTACTAGTACTTCTACTCCTGTAATGATGGCTCATTATAGAGCACTTGTAATAGACTAGTATTATCTATAAAATCATCCTTTTAACCAAAAAAAAAGTTTGAAAACCTACTTTGAGTTGTCTTTTGTTTCCGTAAATATTTTTTAGGTAAACTTTTGAAAACTAAAATCCATTTAGGACAAAAGAGGGGTACATCTTGTTTGAGACTTTGAGTCTTCAAACCTTTCTTTAAGTTATTATACATACTGATTCTTAGTCTTCTATCCAAACTTATACGTACTTGCGCAATAACATACCAAAATACATTAAATTCTTTTTCTCCAATAAAAGAGGGACCAGAAAAAATGGAATTTAAGCATGGTCCATCATATAGCTGTAAACTCCTCGTTGAAGTTGAAATATGTGTCTTAGTTAATGTCGGGTCAATGGAACTGTAGGCTCCACTGCCTCTTTATTTTTGTTGTTTCACATTTCAGCTTCATCAAATAGGCTATTCCCACCTCAATTTTCGGATCATAGTGGAAAATGGAATTAATATCTATTTGGAGCCTTCCAATAATAGTAATCCATTACTTTTATTTTCCAGGTCAACTTGTTGAAATTCATGCAATTTCTAGATGGGTCTTCCACTCAGTAAGTTGAGACCCCACCTTTGCACCGCAGTATAGAAAATCTTCGGTTTCATAAAGCCCATATGATTCTTGGCCTATTCTTTAGTTCTAGCCGAAATGATAAAATTTGTGTGGCGCCCAGTTTTTCGTCACCCATTAAATTTGTACACATTTTTAAAAAGTTCACTAATAACTAAATTTTGAATAACTCCAGATACACACACTTTTTTCTTCTACTTTACTGTTGTTTTCTTTGTATTTGTGCTTGGAGTTTTTTTCTTTTTCTTCTTAGTTGCAAAATGAGTTTGTTAAAGATGTTGTTTTGACAATTTGATGATTGATATTTGTTCTTTATGATATTTGAAAGTTTTGTTTCAAATTTGAGCTCATTTGAAGTAGATTTGGACATTGAATTGTGTATTGGATTGTTGAAATTCGAAGAACATGTTTATGTTTAAGAACTTATTTGAAATTTGAAGTTTCACTCAAAAGATTGAACTATTTAAGATTCGAATTTTTGAAATTGCATTTGAAAGATAGAAGAACTTCATATTTGATTTTTGAAATTGTATTGAAGAGATTGAACAACTTAAGACTCGAATTTCTAAAGTTGCCTTCGAAAGGCATTAAAGAGATTGAACTACTTCATATCCGAGCGGGTACACTTTACAAAATGTTATGTAATGCGGTAGAATTTTAATGGTGGCCCCAAAAGTGGGTATATATGAAAATTCCCCGCAAAAGTGAGCCGAACAGTAATGAGCCCATTAAAGAAATCTGCTATCGATATACATGGATTCCTTTTAGGGAATCTTATGGAAATATACCAAAAATAACAGTATTTACCAACAACTAGTCATTTTAGTCATGCTACCAACAATAGCGGGAAAAATTATCAATGATATACAACATTCAAAATATATAGGCAAAAAAAGATTATTTTCGTAATGAGTATTGTTGTGATTCGTTGAAAACACATATGAGATAATATATATAATTCAATGAAGTTTGAAGGAAAATTAAACTAGTTTGGAGTCAAATTCATTACCAATGATATAAAATATTAAAAAAAAATAGGCAAAAAAGGTTTTTTTTTAAATGGGTATTGGGGTGATTTGGACTAGTTTGGTATCAAAATTCATAGTTAAAATCGAGTTTAAAAAATTCATCTGTAATACATGTATCACGCATGTATCTCAACATACAAGTATACCTTTTCTTCGAATTTTCAGTTCAACCCTCCTCAAAACTTCACCAAGGTTGAAGTTTCCTCTTAGTGACACTACATCTGATGTTTTCTTTCACCTTGTACACATGGATTATGTGGACCTTATAAAATTCGAACTTTTGATAGAAAATATTATTTTCTTACAATTGTGGATGATCACTTTAGGTACACATGGATATATTTTCTACAGCTGAAATATGAGGTCATAGTTGTGATGAAACGGTTCCTAACCATGATTCAGAACCAGTTTGGAACTTCAGACAAGCTTAGGGCTCAAACAAGCCTCAAGGCGGTGGAATCAAATTAACTGAGGCATTACTAAGTGCATGCTTTGTTCAGAGCCATCATGATTATTCATTGTTTTTATTAAGGAAGTAGGATAATCTTGTGATTGTATTAGTGTATGTAGATGATCTTCTAATCATAGAAAATAAAGCAGAGTTAATTGAACATGCCAAAGCTATTCTGCATCAGCAATTCAGAGTCAAGGACTTAGGAGAACTCAAATATTTCTTAGGCATTGAAGTGTTGAGATCCAAGACTGGAATTCTACTAAATCAAAGAAAGTACATACTGGAGTTAATCTCAGAGTTGGGGCTGAGTGGAGCTAAGCCAGCTTCTACACCTCTGGAGGCAAATGTCAGACTAACAACTGCTGAATATGACCAAGCAATCGGTGTTCGAGGTGATGAGTTACTAGAAGACATAAGTTCCTACCAAAGATTAGGGGGCAAGCTCTTATATATCACTATCACTAGGCCTGATATCAACTATGCAGTGCAAACATTAAGCCAATTATGCAAAGGCCTAAGAAGTCTCACTTGGAATCAACAATGAGAGTTGTAAGATAATTGAAAAGTGCATATGGGCAAGGCATTTTGATGAGCTCTGGAAATGCAGAAAGACTCACATGCTGGTGTGATTCAAATTGGGATGCATGTCCCAATATCAGGAGGTCTATCATTCGCTATGTTGTAAAGTTTGGAGACAGCTTAGTGTCATGGAAATCAAAGAAGCATCAAACTGTATCCAGGAGTTCAGCTGAGGCTGAGTATAGGAGTATGGCTGCAGCAGTAGCAGAAATAACATGGCTATTGGGGTTGTTTAAGGAGTTGGGAGTTCATGTTACTTCACCAGTGACAATTTTCACTGACAGCAAATACGCCATACAGATTGCAGAAAATCCAATCCTACATGAGAGAACAACACATATCGAGATTGATTACCACTTCATTCAAGACAAGATTAAGGATTGAGTAGTCAAGGCAGTTTATGTGAATACCAAGGATCAACAAGCAGACTTACTAATAAAGGGGCTAGGGACTGCACAACGCATGCATCTACTTGGCAAGCTTGATGTGCTCAATTTCTTACACCCTCCAGCTTCAGGGGCATGTTCAAATAGAGCATGTGCAACTCACGTGTATTAGTTGGTTAGGAAGTTAGTTACAAATGTTAGGCAGTTAATGACGGCTGTTAGTGAGCTATATTAGTTGGATAAGTTAATTAGAATTAGTTAGCGGTCAGTATATATGTATAGTGTTAACTACTGAATGAGCCAATGGAACAATTATCATTTCCAAATACTCTGCTTCTCTCTCTCTTCTAACTCCATTAACGAGCAAGGTGAAAGCTTCAATCCTTGCCTTTTAGCAAATTTGCTTATGAGCGGACATAACTGGTAATTTTCCTTCCTTTTAACTCCCAGCCCGTAAAAGCAAGATCATCCCTGGACGACTGATAGAGTCACATTCCCACAGCAGGGAAAAAAATAATATGTATTGAATGTTCTCAATATAGCTCGAAATACTTTGTAGCAAGAGGCAAGTCGTTCTACCATGCACATACTTCAAAAACATATTTTTCCTTTTGCCATCCGTCCTTCTTCCGTTCACTGATACTATAGCTCTACTTGTTCAACAATAAACTTTAATCTTATGAATTTTGATGTATGTGTGATGACCCGATAAGTCATCTAGAGTTTTAAACCTTAATTCTGCGTTTTGAAGCCTCAACTAGCTTCATTAAGCCTTCCTCGATTTGCATGCGCGGTCCGTGTCTTTTTCCGGTAGGCTTTTATGTAAAAAATTGATAAAAATGTGAATTTGTGCCTTAAAAGTCCACTTTGAGTTTACTTCGGTCAACGTTTTGAGCAAACAGGCCCGGATCTGTATTTTGACGGTCCCGGTAGGTCCGTATCGTGATTTGGGACCTGGGCGTATGCCCGGAATCGAATTCGGAGGTCCCTAGCTCGAGTTATCGCATTTTGTCGAAAATTTGAAGTTTAAAGGTTTAAAAAGTTTAAAGATTTTATTAAAGTTTTGACTTTATTGCTACTGGGTCCAGATTTTGGTTGCGGAGCTTGGTATATGTTCATTACTATATTTTATGACTTGTCTGCAAAATTTGGTGAAAACTGGAGTTGGTTTGACGTGATTCGGATGCCCGATTGTTGAAATGGAAATTCGTAAGTTTCAATGAAAATTTCATTTGATTTGGTGTTTGATTCGTAGTTCTAGGTGTTATTTTGGCGATTTGATCGCGCGAGCGAGTTTGTATGATATTTTTGAACTTGTGTACATGTTTGGTTTGGAGCCCCGGGAGCTCGGATGAGTTTTGGATAGGCTACAGAAGGCTTTTGGACTTAGAATCATAGTTGAAGCCTTTGTGCTTCTGGTGTCTACTACAGACTTCGCAATTGCGAGGTCTGGCTCGCAAATGCGAGACCTTGCATTTGCGAAGGAAACATCGCATTTGCGAGCATGGGCTGGGGGGTTGGTTTCTCGCAATTGCGAGTACTCTGCCGTAATTGCGAAAGAGGCAGGTTCGCATTTGCCAACAAACAGTTCGCATTTGCGATGGGGACTGGGGAGAAGCTTGTTCGCATTTGCGGTAAGGCCCAGTTCGCATTTGCGAATAAATCATCGCAAATGCGATAATAGCAGAAATGTGGGGACTTTGCATTTGCGAAGGAAATCTTGCATTTTCGGGGTTCGCAATTGCGAACCTTAGGCCGCAATTGCGACATCTGCGCCTGGTCAAAAAGTTGAGTTAGACGAGATTTTTCTCATTATTTCAAATTTTCAAACCTAGAAGCCTTAAAGGCAATTTTTCCAAGAACTCTTCTTCCCCAATTCATTGGTAAGTAATTCTAACCTACTTTCTTTCAATTACCCATTACATTTCATAAGATTTCAACCTAAAATCTAGGATTTTCATGGTAGAAATTGGGGAATTGGGTAGAATTAGAGATTTTTGTAAAATTGGAATTTAAACCTCAAATTGAGGTCGGATTTCGAAACAAATTACATAACCGGGATCGGGAGTAAATGGATAATTGAGTTTTGGTCCGAATTTTGGGTTTGGACCAAACGAGCCCGGGAGTTGACTTTTGTTGACTCTTTCAATAATGACCTAAATTGAACCTTTTTCATTTGCGGGTAGTTCCTAAGGCTTATTTTGAATCTTTTGGTTGATAATTTGCTATATTTGGTTTTTTCAGAGGCTTTTTCGAAAGGCAAAGCCGTGGTTGAGCTTTGAGTCGATTTTGGAGCGAGGTAAGTGTCGTGGTTAACCTTGACTTGAGGGATTAGGACTTGTTTGCCTATTTGCTACATGTTTAAATGTTGGGTACAGCGTATATGTGAGGTGACGATTACTTATGCGTTGTTGTTGGGTTAAAGCATGCGGGTGGGACTTGTTTCTTGTAATTTACTCCTTTCTTTTGATTATGATATCCATGCTTAGACTAGTTTATTACTAAATTGATCGTTCTTTCCGCATTTATGAGCTATTTGTGATAATTGAGTATTGTTTTTGAAGTTGAGGTTGGTATTGTGAAACCGTTGTTGACATAAGGTTTATTCTTGCTTATTCTATCTCCCAATTGTTATATGTTCATTGTTACATGGTAAGGGAGAGTGTTAAAGCACGAAGGGTGATGCCGTACCAATTGCTACTGTAATTATTGATTAATACATAGTGAGGAAGAGAGTTAAAACACGAAGAGTGATGGTGTGCCGTATTTATTATTTAATGATGAAATTGAGAGGAAAAGCACGAAGGATGATGTCATGCCGTATTTATCATTTTAAGGAGAGATTGAGAGTAAAAGCACGAAGGGTGATGCCGTGCAGTTTTTATTCATTATGTTTATCCGTTTCGTTGGCTGAAGGTTTATTGATTGTTTCATGTTGTTATTCCCTGTTGTAGTTACCGTATCTTGTACCCCTTTCACATGTCCCCTACCAATAGTACTTGTTTAATCTTTATTTGTTGTTATGTTGTACATATATTTTCGTCTGTACATGTTTAATTATGTAGGTGTCCTGTCATAGCCTCGTCACTACCTCGTCGAGGTTAGGCTCGACACTTACGGAGTACATTTGATCGGTTGTACTCATACTACACTCTGCACTTCTTGCGCAGATTTTGGTACTGGCCCCAGATATACGCAAGGTGCATCAGCTCGGATTAGCATTTGGAAACTCGAGGTACATCTGCTGGCGTCCGCAGACCTTGAAGTCTCCTTCCTTTTTCCCTATTTACTTTTCATTTTATTTGCCCAGAATAACTCTTATTGGTATTAAATTTCTTATACCTTGTGAAACCCTTCAAATATATGAACTGAGACAAAAAGAATTACCAGAAGAAAAGAACCCAGATGAAAAATTAGAGTATTACCCGTAAGAAACCAGTGCGTATTTAAAATTTCTCAAGGTTTGGTTCCATCCTTTTTCTTCTTCTTCTCCTTTTGAAATTCCTTTTCTGCGTTTTCTGAAGCAGAACCCTTTTTCCCCTTTCTTTCTTTCATTTTTTTGATTTAGTTACAATTATGGGCTTCGGCCCTTTTAGTGAATCCTTATTCTTTTCCTTTTTTTTGATTTTTTATGCTAGTTTCTTATTATTATTATTATTATTATTATTATTATTATTATTTTGCTAATGACCAACACACCCTTATTAAAAAAAATATAGGGTATTACATCCTCCCCACTTTATGAAGTTCGGTCCCCGAATTTAACTTAAGTACGTACCTATAGACTGAAACAAATGGGGGTACTTGACTCGCATAGCATCTTCTATTTCCCAAGTAGCTTCTTCAACTGTATGATTTCACCATAAAACTTTTACGAACTCAATTTCTTTTGACAGTAGCTTTTTTACTTGCCTATCAACAATAGCCATCGGCTCTTTCTCGTAAAACAACTTCTCATCAAGCGGTATAGTTGGTGCTTCAAGCGCCTGAGATGAGTCTGATATACATTTTCTTTGCATTGAGACATAAAACACTGGAGGAATAAAGGACAACTCAGGAGGAAGTGCCAAACAATAAGCAACAGCTCCCACTCGGTCTAGTATCTCATACGGTCCTATAAACCTGGGGATCAACTTGCCTCTTTTCCCAAACCGCATCACACCTTTCATAGGGGAGACTCGTAGGAACACTTTGTCCCCAATTGTGACCACTAAATCTCTTCTTCTCTTATCAGCATAAGACTTTTGTCTGCTTTGAGCTGTAAGCAATCTCTGTCTGATCAACTGGACTTTGTCCATAGCTTCTTGTACTAAGTCAGGTCCCAGTAAGTTGGTCTCACCAGCTTCAAACAATCCGATAGGAGAATGACATATTCTACCATACAATGCTTCGTACGGTGCCATTTGAATACTGGACTGGCAGCTATTGTTGTAAGCAAATTCAGCTAAAGGTAGATAAGCGTCCCAACTACCTCCAAACTCAAGAATGCAAGCTTTCAACATATCCTCCAAGATATGTATAGTACATTCAGACTGCCCGTCTGTCTGTAGATGAAATGCAGTACTAAGATCTACTCGTGCCCAATGCTTCTTGAAAAGATTTCCAAAAGCGTGAGGTAAATTGTGATCCTCTATCAGAGATGATGGATATTGGAACCCCGTGAAGTCGGACAATTTCGTTCATAAATATCTGTGCATACCTCACTCCGCCTACAGTCTTTACTGGCAAAAAGTGTGATGATTTCATCAGTCGATTTACAATCACCCATACAGAGTCATAACCTCTAAGGGTTCGTGGTAGCCAGGTGACAAAGTCCATACTAATTCTTTCCCATTTCCACTCTGGAATCTCAATTTGTTGTAGTAGTCCTGCGGGTCGCTGATGCTCAGCCTTGACATGCTGACAAGTCAAACAACTAGAAACGAAGTTAGCAACATCTTTATCCAGACCTTCCCACCAATAAAATTGCTTCACGTTATGGTACATTTTTGTAGATCCAGGATGTATGGTGTATTTAGAGTTGTGGGCTTCTTCAAGAATAGCATGTCTCAACCCATCTACGTCTGCTACACATAGCCTGTCACCCATTCAAAGAATACCATCACTTTCAACAATCATATCCTTGCTTTTACCAGCTAAGGCCTCATCTCTGTATTTGCATAATCGTTCATCCTCATATTGGGTGTCCTTAATGCGCTCAACTAATGAAGACTTAGCCTGAGCAGAAGCCAACAATGCCTCTGAATTTCCGACACTAAATCTGATACCTGTATCTTCTAGACTCTGGATATCTTTGGCTAACAGTCTCTTTGTAGGAGCTATATGTGTCAAACTCCCCATAGATTTTCTGCTCAATGCATCAGCCACCACATTGGCTTTTCCAGGATGATATAAAATAGAACAATCATAGTCTTTGAGTAGTTCCATCCACCGACGCTGCTGCAGATTTAGATCTCTCTGCTGAAAGATATACTTCAAACTTTTATGGTCAGTATAAATCTCACAAGTTTCGCCATATAGGTAATGCCTCCAGATTTTTAAAGCAAATACCACTGCAGCCATCTCCAAATCATGTGTAGCATAGTTTTACTCATGCTTTTTCAATTGTCTCGAAGCATAAGCTATAACGTGACCATTTTGCATGAGAACACATCCTAATCCCACCCTCAATGCGTCACAGAACACCGTAAATCCTTCGGAACCTGATGGTAAGGCTAATATTGGTGCAGTTGTCAAACATGTTTTGAGTTTCTAAAAGCTCTGCTCACATTCCTCCGTCCACTGAAACTTTGCATTTTTTTTTTGTGTTAGCTTAGTTAGTGACGCTGCTATTCTGGAGAAATCCTGCACAAAACGCTTGTAATAGCCCGCTAAGCCTAAAAAGCTACGAATCTCTGTAGCAGAAGTAGGTCTGGGTCATTTCTGCACAGCTTCGGTCTTCTTAGGATCTACAATAATTTCATCTTTGGATACAACATGCCCCAGAAATGATACTGAGTCTAGCCAAAATTCACACTTTGAGAACTTAGTATAAAGCCGATGTTCTCGCAATGTCTGCAACACAGTCCTGAGATGATTCTCGTGTTCTCCTTGGCAACGAGAATATATCAGGATATCATCAATAAATACTATTACAAATCTATCCAGAAACGGCTTGAAAACCCTATTCATTAAACCCATGAATGCAGCTGGAGCATTAGTCAGTCCGAAAGGCATCACAAGGAACTCATAGTGCCCGTATCGAGTTCTGAAAGCAGTTTTAGAAATATCTTCATCGTTGATTCTAAGCTGATGATAACCAAAATGGAGGTCAATCTTTGAAAAGTGGGCAGCTCCTTGTAACTGATCAAACATGTCATCTATACGAGGCAAAGGATATTTATTGCGTATTGTTATCTTGTTCAACTGCCTATAGTCAATGCACATTCTCAGGGAGCCGTCTTTCTTCTTTACGAACAGTACTGGTGCACCCCACGGAGATATACTCGGTCTGATAAAACCCTTATCTAACAAATCATGCAGTTGTTGTTTTAGCTCCTTCAACTCTGCTGGTGCCATCCGATATGGCGGTATTGATATGGGCTGTGTGTCAGGTGGCAAATCAATACCAAAATCTATTTTTCGTACTGGAGGCAATCCTGGTAAATCCTTAGGAAATACATCAGAAAATTCTCTCACTACTGGTACATTTTCTATACTAACTGTTTCCTTTCTTGTGTCATGTACAATGGCTAAGAGACCCAAGCAACCTTTATTCAGAAGTCGTTGAGCCTTCATAAAAGATACAACTTTACAAGTCTCTGGAACCTGACCCCCTTTTAGAACAAAACTAGGTTCGTTTGGTATCTCAAACTTGACTATCTTTGCATAACAATCACGATAGCATAGAAAGAAGATAACCAATCCATTCCTATCAGCATGTCAAAGTCATCATATCAATTACAATAAGGTCAGCTAGAGTATCTCTACCTTGAACCCGAATCTGACAAGCACGATACACGTATTCAGCTAATAGAGACTCTCCAACAGGAGCAGCAACTAGAAAAGGATCATTCAATAGCTCAGGCTGTCTACTAAACCTCAAAGTAAAGTACGAGGACACATAGGAGTGAATGGATCCTGGATCAATCAACGCAAGTGCATCAAATGAACAGACAGAAAAAACACCTATAACCACAGCATTCGAGGCCTGAGCATCCCGTCTAGTAAATGCAAAAACTCTCACCTGACCTCCAGCATTCCCTTGTCCTTGATTCACAGCAGCACGGTCTCCAGCACCTTGACCTCTATTTCCTGTACCTGTAGCACCTGAAGTATTACGAGTAGTCTAAGTAGGTGCAGCTGACTGAATAGAAGCTTAGTTGAAATTTCTCGGAGGCTGAGGGCAATCCCTCAAGTGATGTCCCAACTGGCCACACCGAAAGCACTCTCCAGTTAGAACACAACACTGGCCCAAATGTGATCTACCATAGGTCTGGCAGACTGGAGTAGTGGCATATATCTACCCAGAATTACGATGTCCAGATGCTGACGGTCCCCTAGTACCCTGTCTGTAATGTGGTCTGTATGTGGTCTGTGAAGACATCTGTGTCCCTGTCTGAGAACCCTGTTGTTGTTGTCCCTGATTTCCTGCTCTTCGATTTTCACTAAAACCGCCACTGAAAGACCCTCCTATCTTGGCCTTCTTACGTAAATCACTAACTGCACGCTCATCACGTCCCTTGTTTTCAATTTTTCTAGCAAGATCGACTGCATCAGTGTAGGATAAAGTCTTCATCTGTGGGGCTACTGCAGTGTATAGACGACCAACCAATCCATCCACAAACCTCTAAACTCGAGCTTCTTCGGTAGACACTAAGTAAGGAGCATATCTAGCCAGCTTACAAAACTTGGTTTTATATGTTGACAC